CGACCCCCTCCAGAGCCACCTCCAAGACCCCTTCCGGCGGCAGAGGAGTCTCCAAGCAAGAAGTCCACACTTTGACTACTTCACCCGTGTGAATCAGAAGAGGGTCCCCCCAGAACCCCCGACGCATCGTCTTAATGCGGAGCCCTACACGGGCCCCCATGGGGAGCTTACCTTCAGACTTCAAAGCAGCAGCCCTGGGCCCACTGAGTTTCCCATCAGCAATTCCTGTCACCGCTGAGCCCCAGATGGCCGTAGCCGTGGGAGAGCAACGCAAAACTTTCTCAACCTTGGCGCCCGCCGCTCTCAAAATATGGACACGGTCCGCAGACTTCTTCTTCCGGCGACCGTCTGGCAAGACGCTCATTTTGCTCAACAACGCTGCGCGGCACTCCTGGCGAGCCATCTCCGCCGAGGCAGCGGAGGCCCCTGGCGCGCTCGAGCTCGCCCTCCCAGGACGAGGCGAGGATGATGGCGAGCTCGACGTCGCCCGTGAGCCAGCCAGTCTTGTCCCAGTTGACCTGCAGCTTCCTCTCCGAGAGTCCCTCGACCACGAATCGAAGAGCAACAGACAGCTGTTCCCCCACGAGGCGCGCAGTACCAAGTGCTTGCAGCATCTGGTCATCCACCAGCGACTGCGCTCTCTCCAGAGGATACCTCCTCGCCTGCTCCATCAGCAGAGTGCGAGCCATAAGTTGTGCGAGCCCAAGCGCGCAGCTGCAGCCCGCAGCGATCGCACCATTGGCATGCACCACCACCGAGGGGGGCCCTCGGTACTGAGCTCTTCGCCCAAGCCTGCGCGCACAACAGAGCGCCCTCAAGAGCGCCAGGGGGAACTTCGTCGCCCCCGCCTCGCGCAGGAGAATATCATGCGAACCGTGCCCGTAGTACTTGCTAGGGTCCAGCGCGGCCGTGTCCGAAGCCACGCCGTCCACCTGCGCGCAATGCGCGGCAAGCAGGTGGTGAACGTAGCCAACTCTATCGCACGTATTGCCCAATCCTCCCCACTAGAAGTCGCCCTCCAGCTGCCTCCCCCGCTTGGCCACTAGCGGCTGCCCCAGGCGGCTCCATAGCCGCGGCCACAGGCAATTGAGCACGATCGGCCGCACTCCCCCCCCAGGCGGGGGCTTGGGCAGGAAGGATATCAGCATGAGGAAGAGGCGCACGTCGATCGGGTTCCCCTCCCACGCGCGCAGCGCATCCCGGAACCTTAACTGGTAGCTCCGTGGCAGCCACCGCAGCTGCCTGGGATGGAACTTGCCCCAGCCCAATCCTGCCCTGTCACTGCATGTATCGACCACCTCCCCCAGGTTCTGCAGCGTCAGCCGAGGCAGCTCCTCGACGTCGGACTCAGCCCCTCGCCAAGAGTATGGATGAATTTCATCCTCTCGTAGCTCGTGCTGCCACAGCGGGCCCCGCTGCTGCATGAGCTTCTCCATGGCCGCGTCGCCGCCCAGGGGCATCATCTGCTCCTGCTCCTCGTCCAGCATCTCGAACACTGACGGTTGAACCTGATGCCCAGCTCGAACGAAGCCGAAGGCCGCTCTGCCGCCCTTCTCTTGGGCAGCTGCACATGCCCACGCCTTCCACTCGCTCTGGTAGACCTGCGCGTCGCGCTGCCGCAGCTGCAACAAGTGGTCGTCGAGCGCCTCCAGCATGTAGCCAGCAGCTGCCGCGCTGCCCGACCTCAGCACCATGACCACCTTTGCGATGGACACATTCGCCAAGGCCCCAGTGAACGGCCACCAGTCGTCCTCGATAAGGAAGCCCTCGATGACCTGCAGCTGCCTGTTGAGGCAGGAGAACCTTCCCCAGCCTCGCTCCGACATGCATGCCTTATGTTGCGCTGCTCGCCGAGCTGCTGATGTGAGAGGTGCCTTTCTCCTGAACTCCAGCGACGAACGGGCTCTGAACTGCCTGCTCCATTCCTGTGCCAGGGGCGCCCTCTTGAGCTTCAGCCCAACTGCTCGCCCACGACGCCTCTCGTAGACATCGTGCAGCTGGCAGAGGGGGTCCTCTGCGTGCATGAACCAACACCCAGCGGCCTGTTGGATGCCCCGCGGATCCGAACCTGGCGCCCAGGGCCATTCCGCATCAGCAACTTCTCTAGGCGCGGGCCGAGCTGGGAAAGGAAGCTGAAGAGGAAAACCATCAGGTCCTTCTGCTGCCGTGACTGTGGCCCTCGCATGGAGCCTCCGCAGCTTGAGCAAGACGGGAACGTGCGTGCATACCGGCGTGCCCAACACCGAGACAACCTCCATGCCGCTGCTCGCCAGAGTTTGAGAGCATATGAAGAAATCCAGCTTGCTGCTACCACAGGTGGCCTCCCCCGTGGCCGCTACAACTCCACGGACACGCCGTGCCCACTCCTGGAGGTCCTGTGGCTCCATATTCCAGCCGCCGCCAGCTACCCATGGTCCTGGGAGCAGAGACACCAGCTGCAGCAAGCCTCCAAGATACGATACATTCGGCTCAACCATGCCAATTTTCGTCGTCAAGTACACCGAGATGACGTAGACTGGCACAGCGAGTCCCGTGTTGACTGCCGCGACCTGACATCGGCTGCCAGGGAGATCGCGTCGAAGAGATGCTGGCACTTCACGTGCAAGCACAGGCACACACTAGGAGATGGCAACACCTGCAGAGGACTCCATCACACCTTCACCTGTGATACAAGCTTTGCTTATCACCAACTGCCCACCAGACATATTGCCCCCACCATGCACACAAGTCCTGAGCCTTCGACCAGTACGTGACATTGGACGACACAATCGCCAGGTCTTCCAGCTCAACACTCTGACTGCCCAGCTGCCTCTTCTCGAAGCCCGCTTCGAGTGCCAGGGTGGATGAGATGCCCACCTGCTTGAGACATCCAATCTTCGATAGGCCGCACTCCCCTGCAGCGCCAGCTCCGCTAAAGCCCTGGCCTGGTGGTAGTCCGAACCTTCTTGGCGGGCGTGAGGCACTCCTGGAACCGCTTGAGCTTCTCGCGATCCTCGGGCTTGGCAGGGTCGCGCTCGGGGAAGCCTGCGGCTTTGAGGCGCTCAGGCAGGCTGGGGTCACCCTAGTCAAACTGCACGTCGCCATCCTCGTCGCCTGCAGCACCACCAGCACCACTGTCAGGAGCCCCACCGCCAGCTGCTTGACACGCAGCCTCAGCGGCCGCCTGCTCCTGCTGCTTGGCGTGCTCCGCGAGCTTGGTCTTGATGGCAGTGGCCTCCTCTTCAAGCGCCGAGCCACAGACCATGAGCGGGGCCGCCAGCCCCTGCCAGGTGCTCCGAGGTCTTGAGCTTGCCCAGCACCTCTTGCACCAGGCTGAGAAGCTCGCTGGCAGTGCCGACGTCGTTCTTGCCCTCCGCGACCTTCCCAAGGACGGGAACAGCGTTGGCGAGCTCCTTCTTCTTGATGACCGCGCTGATCTCTTCCAGCGCCTTACTATGCTGCTTCTGGTACTCCAGCTCCTGATCCAGCTGCGCCTGCTTGGCTGCCAGCACTTCCCGCGCCAGCTGCACCCGCTCGGTAGCTTTCTCGAACTGCTTCTCCTTCTTGGTCCTACGCACGTGTAGGTCTTGCAGGGATTTAGTTGACAAGTCCGCCTTCGCGACCACACCCATGTCTTCAGGAGGAGGAGGAGGAGGAGGAGGAGGAGGAGCATGAGGAGGAGCACGAGGAGGAGGAAAAGGATGAGGACGAGGACAAGGATGAGGAGGGGGAGGAAGAGGACAAGCACGAGGACGAGGAGGAGGAGGAGGACGAGAGGAGGAGGAGGGCGCGGAGGAGGAGGAGGAGGACCACTCTAAACCCAAGAGTCAGCAACGACGTTTGAATAAGCCCTCCTTCCAAGCTCCCCCTTCAGAGGGCCCTACAAAGGTTCATGTCCGCTGAAAGAACTGCACCGTTGGAAGACAACCGTTTGAAGAACCTGAAGCATGTCAAGACATTGTTCCCGGGTGTCCAACGCCACTGATCAACCTGACTCTTACGTCTTGACGATCCTGAATCGTGCCAGAACACCATTCCTGGGATTTCAACACCGCGAATCAACGGAACTGTTGCCCCCGCATAATCCTGAACCCGTCAAACACAGCATTTCTGTTACGTTGATAATGGAAATCCGCGAAATTATTGCCAATGTTTAGAGCGAATGTGCGCGGCGCTTGGGCGAGAGCCACATGTTGAAAAGGAACAGCCCTCAATCCGTGAAACCCTTACAATGTGTTAAATGCATGTGCGCGGCGCTAAAGCTAGAGCCACATGTTGAACAATATTCGCCCTCAACCCCCGAAGCACTTGCAAATGATCAAGACGAATGTGCGCGGCGCTAGGGCGAGAGCCACATTTTGAAAACGGCCCGCCGCCCTCCATATGTGAAACTGTTGCCAATGATGAAACTTCAGAGTCGTAAATGGTGAGGAAGTCTCAGGCGGCCCGCCCGGCCCACCCAAAAAACTGGCCTCGGGGTGCGACAGGGAGAAGTTATATCCACATATGCGTGTATATATATATATACACATGTAGAAAGGAAAGGAAAGGAGGGGGAGGAGGAGGGGGAGGGGAGGGGGAGGAGGAGCAGGAGGCGGGAGGAGTGAGGAGGAGGAGGAGGAGGAGGAGGGGAGGAGGATGAGGAGCAGCGCCCTCACTGCAACTGGACCTCCACTGCAGCGCCCTGACTGCAACTCCTTTACGGCACGACGAGAGGGTGCGAGCGGCGGCGGCGCGCGGGAGACCGAAGCCCGAGGACGATTCGAGGACGAGAGGAGGGGCCCTGACACCAGAGGCCTCCCTCCTCCTCCTCCTCCTCCTCCTCCTC